TACCTGGGATTTTATGTCTTCTTGGAGAGGCCCTTAGCCAATAACTTACAGGTATGGGAGTACCACAGCCTGTTCTCCAGCCTCACATCAGTATAGCTCTGATATATATTTCATATTCCAGAGTTCTCTTGCAGGATTGGGATGAAGTTACATGCATGCATCTTTACCTGAAATCACACCCTCACACAATTTTTTCCCCTTCCCTGTTTGGCTTCTCTTATTGCCTTATTTCCCCTGGAGGCACTGCCTTAATCAATTACTTGCAAACAAACCCTCATCTCAGGGAATGTGTCCCGGGAAACCAAACAATGTCAGTTGGTAACTGTGGTTCTGGGAAGCAGATTCTGGAGTTGGCTTGCTTCCTGGCCAGAAGAAAACAAGAACCCCTTCACTGGTGGTAAGTAGAGCATCAGGTGCCTTGTAAGTCAATACTTGTCCAACTCAATATTTGGCCCCACTTCCTCTCCTGGCTCAATTCTTAGCAGATCTCACTGGGTTAGTGCTGGTCCTGCTAAGGGAGGGGAGGATTATTCACTGAAGGAACTGCAGAGCCTGGGGAACATGTACCAGCACAGACTGGAAGAGACTATCTAGCAGAGGATCTTGAGGTGTTAAATTATAGAGTGTGGAATACAAGACTGATTAGGAGAATATTTACTGATATGAGGGCAATACATATGACTCACTTCCCTAGAGACTGTCTTAATATGCTTAATATGCTTTCGAAACTCAGAAAAAGTTATTCCCACATTAAATGAGGTGGAGATGCCAGAATCATCTTGACAAAATATTGAGAAAAGAATAAAACATTTGAGAAGCAGGTGTGCTAGAATGAATCTATTAATATTGCATAATCCTGAAACCCACCAATGGAGTATGTTTTCAGGAGATCCCAGAGGACACTCCTTTCACTAAAGTGATAAGAAATGTGCTGGAGACGGGGGCACCCTTGTTACTGAGCAGCCCAGCAGTGGCTGTCCTCGATAGCCTGAGGCTGAAGTAGGAAATATTTACTGAACTGGGTTCCATAGTGTCAGTCAGAATGATAGGATTTGGGAGTAACAAAGGACAAGTGCTATTATTCATAGTTAACCATCAGAGGCAGGGTAGATGTGACTACCATGATAGGCAATGACATTGAAGTGTCAGAATGATCACCAAGATGTCTTGACCTATAAGAATCTAGAGCAATGGATAATAGAAGATGGTATTCTTAGGGACAAGATAGATGGGCATCATTAGGTATACACACATATGCATGTGTGTGTGTGTGTGGGTGTGTGTATCCCTCAACTTACAATGGGGTTATGTCCTTATAAACCCATCTTAAGTTGAAAACATACTAAGTTGAAAATGCATGTAATACACCTAACTTCTAACTTACCAAACATAATAGTTTAGCCTAGCCTGACTTAAACATTTTCAGAACACTTACATTAGCTTATAGTTAGGCAAAATCATCCAATGCAAAGCTTATTTTTAATAAAGTGTTGAATATTTCATGTGATTTATTGAATATTGTACTGAAAATAAAAAACAGAATGATTGTATAGGTACTCAAAGTATGGTTTCTACTGAATGTGTTTCGCTTTTGCACCATCATAAAGTTAAAAAATCATTAAGTGGGACCATAGTAAATCAGGGACCATCTCTGCATGTGTGTGTGTGTGTGTGCATGTGTGTTTATGTGTGTTTGTGTGTGTGTATTTGTTCCATATACATGGCTGATGTCAGCTTCCTCAAAGCTCAGTGTTACCCAATATCCAGTCTTGAGTCAGTTTTCAGATCCAGAATGCATTACTTGAAAGAAATCCAAGTCCTCTTGAGGAATGTGTTAGAATATTATAAGTATAAATTGGCAAGTAATCAGTATGTACTGATAAGACACCAGCGCTCCACCAGATGCAGTATATTCTTTGTTATCATTTTAATATCTGAATCGTCTGTGGTGATGTTACCTCCTTATTCATGATTTGGTAATTTTCTGTGTTCTCTCTTTTCTCCCCTGATCACTCTAGCTGGAGGTTTATCAATGACATTGCTGCAAATTCTGCTTAATATTTCCTTTGCCAGTTAAGAGGGCCTAAAAGAAATGACACCCCAATAGTAAAGACTACATCTAGTGCCCAGGTCTTGGTGTCTATTACCACTCTCCAATAAAATGAACCAGGGCTCCTTGAAAAAAATTGTTGATTCTAGGACTGGGGTAGGAAACGTACAAAACGAGCCTAGAGCATCTTACAGTGCCAGAAAGTAAGGAAGTACTCAAACAACAAAACAAATGATCATAAATAAATAAACTTAAAAAAAAAAAAACCACATTGATGTAAGTATATCAAAGGACACAGGGACCAACTGAAGAGCTCCCAATGGCCAAAGCTGGAACAATTTGAACAAGAAAATAACGTACTATTGGATTGTAGCCGAAAGTATAAAATAACTAACCCTAAATCCATACTGCTATAAACAGCTGAGAGGAAGAAAATCTGTGCAGAAAATTCCAAATAATTTATGTAGGTATTTCACCCTCAGTGACAGGGAGATCCACTCTCCACTTTTTAATTGCGAGCTTTGCATAGTGACTTATTTCTAGTGTACGTATAGAAGCGTGGAGGGTGGAGGTGAGGAGAGTAACTTTACAGAGGAGAAACCTGACACACATTATCTCAGCCACGTGATCAAGGTTAATAGCAACTGGGATAAGTCACGTTTGACAGTACGCACACTTTATATGATGTAATGACAATGGCACTTTACCTCTGCGATCTTTCTTCTAAAAACCCATACTACCAATCTATAATCATAAGAAAAACATCAGACTAACCTAAATATATCCTACAAAGTACCTGACTAATATCTCTGAAAACTGTCAGGGTCATCAAAAGAAAAAAAAAAAGTCCGAGAAACTGTCACAGTCAAGAGAAGCTTAAAGAGACAAGACAACTAAATGTACTTTGGTATTCAGGATGGGATACTGAAACAGCAAAAGGATATTAGGTAAAAACTAAGGGCAACTGAATAAAGCATGAACTTTAGTTATAATAGTATATCTGCATTGTTTTGTTAATTGTAAGAAATGTACTATACTAAGGTAAGATGTTAATAACAGGAAAAATTGGATCTGCAGTATATAGAAACTCTCTGTAGTATTTTCTCAACTTTTATGTAAATCTTAAACTGTTCTAAAAAATAAGATCTATTATAAATTAACCTCAGACTTCTAAGAATATTTTCACATACTCCAGGTGCTTCTGATGGCTCTCCCTCTGTCCCCAATACCCCTGTCCAGTCCTACCCAAGCCTATTGGCAGGAGGACTTGAATCTGCTTTCTCATGGTCTAACTCATGAGAACCATTGGCAAGTGCTAACCCAAGGAATGATGTGGTTAGATAGAATTTTAAGTAGTATACCCTGTCGTCCGTGTATGGGTGGGTTCTGGGGTTTGTGGATATAGAGCAAGAGAGACCAGCCTGAAGTCTCTTGCGACAGTTCAGGTGAGCAATGAGCTCAGGCTGAGCTCAGTAGGTGTTGGTGGAAATAGCAAGGACTTGGTCCTTGGTGGGGTAGGGAGGCGAGAGGAGGAGGAATGAGGAGTGATGATCTCGAATGCACAGACAGTCCTGTCATAGCCCAGAAGAGAGAACAGCTAAGGAGGAAACGTGTCGAATGGTGGTGTTGGGCGAGGAGGAAGGAGTGCTAGGTGCCACACTGTTCAGATCTATTGAGCTTGAGTGCCTGTGGACACCACAATAGGGATGTCCCTGATATGTCCTCATGCCTGTGGTAAAATAGCTTTGAGTAGCTGGAGACAACCTGGCTAAGAGGATGTGGTTAAACAGTTAAAGGTAAGGGATTTACAAAATTAAAAGCCACACTTGTCCCAGGAAGCAGTCCCAGGTCCTGATGTGACTGATGGCAGTAAAGGCAACGGAAATGTCAAGGAGCCAGGATGCAGGAGGAGGGGGACAGCAGCAGTGACTCTGGGTTTGTATTTCTCCACTGTCATAAGCATTTTGGGCTTCCACGGGTGCTGCTGGCCCTACGTTTACTTCCTTTAACAACCCTACCACGTCCCCTCTGAGAGAGTCCCTGAGTGCCTCCTCCTCTCTCGCCCAATTCTGCTTCCATTGCTTTTCTGAAGCCTTCCTCGGCCTAACAGCACCCGTAAGACTCTTGGAATCATGAGGACATTCTATAGAGAAAACCCGGGGGGCAGAGCCTGGGGATGTTTGCAGGGAAGGGACCAGAACCAGGTGGAGCCCCCAGACCTCCCTCGCATCTGCCCAGTGCCCTCCCTCCTGCGAGGAGCTGAGTCAAGATGGGCAGCACGGGGCCGGGGCTGGGCTGTGGGTAGTGTGAGGTGCTGTGGGACCGGGATGGGTTGATCCTCTTTCTCCAACCCGAGCAACTTATCCCACTGCATGACTGGCAAGTGTTGCTTTCAGGTCCACAAGTGAAGTAGTTTTTGTTTTGTTTGGGGTTTTGTTTCTTTTTCAGAAGCTGTTGAATATATTGAGTGGTTTGGGGAGCAAAATTAAAGGAAGGTCAAGATGTCTGTCCTTTGAGAATGGCCCAAGAGAGTCACTTGCAGCCATTGACTCATAGACAGGGTTTTATGTGACAGAGGAGAAAAAGCTAAAAAGAATACAGGATGCAAGGACTTGCAGGATTTATTATGCACCACTGTACACATTCACAGATTCAGCCAAAACCCTGGAGTGAAGTCAGAGTTACTATAGTACCCACAGTCCCTCAGGCAGAGGCTCTGCTCACCTGAGGTTGGGATCGGGCTCATTGGGTGGGCGCTGGACAGCAGCTTCCTCTCCCCCCTCCCCGGCCCCGTCAGAGAGATATGCAGAGGGACAAAGTCTAGTTCACAGATGAGACAGGCCACCAGGGGACCTGAGGTAAGTGGGGCAGTGGTGTCCTCTTCCCTTGTGTGGAGTGGTCTGAGGGCCTCTCCATAACCACTGAGTGGGTACGTATGTTCGAGCAGCCCCTACACCTCTGGCTCCTGCTGCTGCTCTGCAGGGAGCAGGACTTCTCCCTTTGGAGGCTGGGGTGGCTGGATGTCTTGGACCTGGCCAGGAGCTAGGACAAACCCGGGCTTCTCCAGCTGTCCCTCCTGCTGCCCCAGGGGCTCCAGCAGCTGCTCCTTCTTCATTCCCAGTTGTTCATATCTCTTTGCCACCTCTTCATCCAGTTGCTGGTCCAAGAGCCTCTTCTTCTCTTCCAGCTGCTCCTTCAGTTGCTCTTCCCTTTGTGCTTTCTCCTGCTCAAGCTGCTGCTCCAGGTTTTCTGCTTCCTGATGTTTCTCATGTTGTCCCTGGTGCTGTTGCTGCAGTTCCTGCTCCTGTGACTCCTGCTGCTGCTGCTTTCCCAGGTGCAGTTCCTGCTCCTGTGGCTGTTCTTGCTGCTTTACTAACTGCAGGTCCTGACCCTGTGACTCCTTCTGCTGCTGCTGCTTTCCCAGGTGCAGTTCTTGATCTTGTGGCTTTGGCTGCTTTCCCAGGTGCAGTTCTTGCTCCTGTGACTCCTTCTGCTGCTGCTGCTTTCCCAGGTGCAGTTCCTGATCCTGTGGCTTTGGCTGCTTTCCCAGGTGCAGTTCTTGCTCCTGTGACTCCTTCTGCTGCTGCTGCTTTCCCAGGTGCAGTTCTTGATCATGTGGCTTTGGCTGCTTTCCCAGGTGCAGTTCCTGATCCTGTGGCTCTTGCTGCTTTGCCAGATGCAGTTTCTGCTCCTGTGACTCCTGCTGCTGTTGCTGTTTTCCCAGGTGCAGTTCCTGCTCCTGTGGCTCTGGCTGTTTTCCCAGGTGTAGTTCCTGCTCCTGCAGCTCCTGCTTCTTTGCCAGATGCAGTTCCTGTTCCTGTGGCTCCTGCTGCTGCGGCTGCCCACTTTCTTGCTCAAGCACCCCTTGCACAGGAGTTGTGCATTTCTCCTCATGCTTCGAGGGGACCTCTGCAGGGTGCTCAGAGTGCCCCTTGTGGCACGGGGCAGGCAGTGGTGTTGGCTGCTTCCGTTGCTCCTGCTGGATGTCAGCGGGAGGACAGCCAGTCTTGAGGAGCTCCTGACTGAGGGCTGGGGGGAGGGTCACTGGCAGTGTGTGTTGCTGGGACATCTTAGAAGGTGCTGTAGGTCAAACTGAAAAACAGAAGGGGTCAGAGAGGTAGGGTGAATGCAAAGGAATTAGATGAACCCTGGAAAACTGTAGCAGTACCTTGTTTCTCGGCACCCCTCTCTTCCCCTTGGGGACACTCCCCCACCCACTCTGGGCTGTCATTCCCTAGAAGCAGCAGAGAGTGAAGGGTGGAAATGGAGAAGGGCAGGGAAAGGTCCTTCTGGGAGCTTCCTTGTTCCTAGGCAAGAGCCAATGAGATCTGTCTCCAGGGCTATTCTGCAAGGGTGGGCTGGTGCCAGTTAACCTTCTGCTCTGTCTAGTCTTTGTGTCTGTCCTTATCTCTGATTTCCACTGACCAAGGAGGAGAGATGAGCTCTGGGATTATGTCACAGTGAATGGTAAGGCCCTAGGGAAAGAAAGGTCTCCTGGAGGTCCCCTGAGTCCCGGAAAACCAATAGCCTGTGCCAGAGAGAATCTGAGCACTCATGGCACAAGCCCTGGCCTGCAATCATGTGACATATTCTGGACCTAAATCTCCCACTGAAATGCTGCAAGTTCCTGGGAAAGTCATTTTGTCCCTCTGGGCTTCAGATTTCTCATCTGTAAAATTAGCAGCTTGGCCTATTCATCTCAGAGCTCCTTTCTCTCCTGACTTCTGAGGTTTAGCTGCAGTCACCGTGCCTGGGGTGGGGCTGGGTGGAGCTGGAAGGTTGCTGAGAGTTGGAGGTAGTTCTTCCAAGTCTTGTACTTTTAAGCTGGGGATTTTCTGCCCCTGCTCTGCCTGGGTGTCTCCAAATAGACCCCCATTCTGCAGTTCCCTCTGTGTGCAGCACGGCCAACAGTTACAAGCCTTTCCCTGAACTCCAGCCCTCAAAAAGAAGGCACAATAGTGGTCAGCCCAAATTGAAGAGTTTTAGGAAAGAAATTGGCTGCTACCCGCCCTGCCTCCCTGCCTTACTTCTCTCTCTCACACACACGAAATCTGAAATACAATCCCAAGAAAAGATGGGACACAGATGATTACAATCTCCATTCTGCGTTTCTATAGCACGGCACATTCCCCTCCTGACAGCGACGTGAGCCCCCAGGAGGAAAGGTAGCCAGACCAGCCCCAGAACGATGCCCACACCCACCTAGGCCGGCCACCACCAGCCATGAGAACAGGGGTTGTTCAACGTCCCAGTTCCAGCCCTGGCTCTGCCGACTGACACTTACCAGGCTCCTGGTTGGGCGAGGCAGAGGCTTCAGTGGAGTGCTGAGCCCAGCGGGGGCCAGGGCACCCTTTATACCGCGCCCAGCCTGGCCTCCTTCCAGGATGAAGGTGATGGACTAGTTTCACCACTCCTGTTGGTCAACTTCCTCCAGCCCCTTCCTGACTCACCACAGGCATCTCAGGCAGCAAACCCCTCAGGGTCCCTTTTCCCAGGGACACACAGCGGCTGCCTGGCCGGAGAGTTCTGGGGACTCGGGTACTCCTGTGATGCTCATCTGACTTGGGCACAGGGGAGGTGACGGGGGTGAGGGAGGCATCCTTCTCTCTGAATCTCAATTTCTCTACCTTTAAAATGGGTTTTTTCTCATTAGTAGGATGGGGGATTTATTTCCAAGAGCATGGAATGGAAAGTTATGTGTCTTTCTGGGATGTGCAGGATATGGAAAGAGTCACTTCTCATGAAGGGATGAAAATATGGGTCATCATCTTGGGCCATGAGCTCATCCTCTCTCAGAACATATCCATAACTTCATTCTGTGTGGAAATAAATTCTGTCTTGAGGAGGGTCTGACTTTAGGCCAATTAGAGTCAACTAGAAGACTTCTAGGGGTCTGCTGCTGTGTGCCAAGGGCTGCCCAGTCCCCATGCCCAAGGCTGTAGTTACAGAAGTCCCCAAGAATACCATGTTCATAAAAATTCCAAAGCATGGCCCCCTCTAGGCACAGATACAGCATCAAATATATACAACGTGTAAAATAATTATTGCTTTTTGTGGTGATAAAACACTTTCTGTAATTATTTTTTAGGATGCATAAAGGCATAAAGTCCAGAACCAAATTGTCCATTGCCTTTAAAAACCATTCTCTATAATTAGCTTAAAAAATCTTTTAGAGTGGGGATTTGAACATGTCCCTCATCAATGGTGACTCAGTGCACTTGGAATAAAATCCAAAATCACTGCCATGGTTTAAAAGGCCCTGGGGTACATGGCTCCTGCCTTCCCCTGGGGCCTGGGCTCAAGCTGCTATCTCCTTGGCAGATGTACTCCTGCCTTAGTGAGAACGCTCAGTTCCAGGGACAAAGCCAGAGCTCCCCACTTCGGGGCTGGGCACCTGCTCTTCCTCTGCTAATGGGCTCATCCCCTACTACTGAACATTTTAGTGTTGATGCCTGTTTGTGTAAAAACAAAACTGAATTGTGACTTTTATTTTTGTTATCATTAGTTAATAGATTATTTTATGGACATCTTTATTTAAACTTGCTTCTTTACAATGCAATCAAAAAAGAAATAGTAGAATAATATGAAGACAATATTCACTGGGGCTAATTTTGAGAAGTGTCCTGATTCTCCATAGTTTTCCTTACAGACAAGCAGATCTAGTTACAGTGCTAATTTTACCATGTTCCTGGTGCTCAGTCTGAAAAGAGAGATGGAGGCCCTACAGGTGGCCTCTGGTTTCTGGAATGCTACCCTCTTCTCGCACCTTCTTTGTCCCCTGAGCCCACCCAGGGACCTCACACTGCCTCCCCCATAGAATAGGGACTGTGCCATTTTCTGGGCCAGAGAAAGCACCACCCCTGACTCTGCCTTGGAGAACTCACCAGGCATCCTCACATGGGCACCGGTGCCCTTGTGCTCCGCTGCTGACCTCACATGGGGGGAATCTGCCTCACCCCAGCCCGTGGCAGTCAGTGCCAGGGCAGCAGACTCAGCTCAGGGAAGTCACACCGGTCTTATGGGTTTCCAGGGGCCCAATATCTGCCAGATCTGCCTCCCGCCCTCTGATTCATAGCATAATGAAAGCTTTGAGGAGAAGACGAGTGTGTGAGCCTTTGACCGCTGGGCAAAGCCAGGGTGTGGGAAGGAGGGCAGAGGATAAAGCTGAGGGAGTATGCATGTGTGTGTACAGGAGAGGAGCTGGAGGAACCCTTCTAGGGCTCAGAGGCCCCATGCTGCCCCCTCAGGTTGTCCTATTTGGGGTACAGGCATGCGAGGACAGAGTGTCTCACACCTGTGTGAATGACCTCAGGGGCTCCAGGGTCCACATGACCAGTTTGGGTAACTGTCTAGCCCCCGCCCAGTATAATGAGGATGAGCTCATATCTCATGACACATGGAGAGGCCTTGACCCCAGCTCTGCCCCAGCCCAGGGAGGCCCTGGCTACTGCTCTTTCAGATGCAGAAACTGGCTGGACTCTCTCTTTCCCGAGGGAGGCAACCTATTTGAACTGTTGCTTAGTCGTGAGGGGCAGAAGGAATTTGTCATGGCAATTTACTGTCCTGGGGAAGGGATGCTGGGGACATCTCTTAGCAAGGTGCCACTATGGGGTGATGACAGATGGTCCTGGGAAGGTGAGTCCCACCTTGGTAGCCTCAGTGTGTGCCACTGCCCTGTGCTCTGGGCTGGCCTCCTCCCCACTCATAGGCCTCCTCTTCTCCACCGCGTCTCAATCTCCAGCCCATGCTGTTGCCTCCCATACATACCTCAAATCCTCTTTGTTTTCCTCCATTGCCTCCTGAACCTGACCTTGGCCCCTCTCTATCTTTTGTGCCTGTCTGCTGTTCCAGGACAGAATTAGGCAAAGAAGGGGGATGACACCACGGAAGGGCCAAGAGGGCTGACTTTTCCTTTCTGGGCTTCTGGGTGTAACTGTCTGATCTGACTTCGCTGCCTATCCTGCATCTCCTCTGGCTTCGTTTCCTGGGTCTCGTGGATCGCTGGTTCCCACTCTCAGTCTCCGATGCTGGCCCTTGCTTTTATATCTGAGAGCTGCAGAATGGCCACAGCTCTGCTCTTGGTGGCAGCAAGAGGAGTAAAGGTGTGAAAAATGTCAGTAGTGGAGAAAGGAGATGCTCAGTATCCCCTCCTCTGACTAAAGGCTATGCCCTACCACTTGGGATCATCACTGGGGACATCACATTCTTTGTAGTTGATTCTCTCTGCCAGAAGACAGCAGAATGCCTGAGGTGGAGGGGTCCTTAAAGAAAGCATGGGAAATGCTTCGCCCTGCCGGGTGCATGGGAGCTTCTTAGCTATCTATCTAATAACTGCTATAAACAACAACAATAATTAATAGCAATAATAATTTTAATTCAGAATAAATAAATTCATAAAAGCAGAAAGCAGATTGGCTATTGTCAGGAACTGGGAGGAGGGGAGAATGAGGTATAGCCGTTTAATGAGTATGGTGTTTCCTTGTGGAGTGATGGAAATGTTATGGACTAGATAGGTTGGTAGTTGTACAGTGTGTAAATGTACTAAATGCCACTGAGTTGTTCACTTTGGAATGGTTAATTTTATGTGATATGAATTTCACCTTCATAAAAAATGGAAACAATGCCCTTGCCTGATAGCAGGTCACAAGATACAGCTGTTACTATAGTTGATGCATCCATCCAAGCAATATTTATTAAGCCTCTACTACGTGCAAGACAGAGTGATGAATGAAAAACAGACACAGTCCCTGCTTTCAGGTAGCTTAGAGTGTAGGAGCTACTTAACACGTAGGAGCTTCTTACCCAGCCTGGTCCCTCCACTGGGGTTCATTCCCTCTTCTGACAGATGAGGATTGAAGTCTGGAGCAAGAACATGAGCTGCCCAGGGGCCTACAGTGAGGCTGTGTGGAGCTGGACTGGAACCCATGTGTCCTGACCTCCAGTGTGGGGCTGTCTTCCCCACCAGGGTGCCCTCCTAGGTGCTCAAGCAACTGATGGCTATGTGACAGGCTTTACCAGGTGACTTCAAAGACACTTTCCTGCTCTGAGTCAATCATTTAACCCAACATG